CAGGATGCCAGCTGCCAGGGTTTCCTTCACTGAATGGATAAGTGAATCAAGAACAAACAGCACAAAGTCCTTGAAGTTAATGTGCTGGTGAACAAGATGCCTGTGCTTCACACTTTAGTGACGAGCTATTCCCCACACTTATCCTTCAAATGACACTTCAATGAGCAGCTACTGTGAAGAAGGTTGTGAGGGTGCAGACTGAGAATCTGAATAAGCAGCAGCATGTCAAGATCTTAATTTATAACCAGGGGCTAGTCAGATGAGTAAAACAAAATTGCAGGATTCTTCCCCCTGCCCCCCCCGCCGAAGTATTCCATGATGTGTTGGCAGCTCCTTTCTACAAACATGACTGTTCCATTAAGGTAGGACCAGCCTCTCACTCCCTTCCTCACTCAGAAAGCATAAGCTTGTCTGCCCACCCCAAATTTAAGTGGTCTGTCTTTACCACTTTCTAATCTCCAGCAGGTAATGAAATATATAAACATGGTTGTTCAGGGAGCTGCACAGCTCCATAACCATTTCTCCTACTACAAACCCAGTTGTTGGGCAAAGGAGTCTTTAGTTAGTGATTTTGCTGCGGTATAAATCACTGACCAATATTTAGCTGATGAAGAACATGAATTGTAAATTGCCAAGATCCATTTCACTTTGAGTTGTCCACTATTAATAACAACATGGTCTCTGGGTAGCAAGCTAGAAGGTTATTTGCCATCATAAAGCCTCACCTCCAATAACAGCACTGCTCTTCTTGTCAGATTATCACATCCAACAATCCACCACAGAGCAGCAATTATGGAGCAGTGGTGCTTTTAAAGGTCCATGAACCAGTCCTCTCGGGTAGCTAGTGAAACTAGTGGCCTTTCACTGAGCAGCTGTCCATCCCTACTACTGGTGCTGGAGTTAGTGTGGAAAGCAATACTAGCCACTGAATGTCACAAAAAATTCTCTGTAAAACCATTACCATTCAAGCAGTTCCTACCAGATAGGCCAATGCTTCAAAGATCTCTTGGCTAACGGTGCAACAGTCCAGCTCGGCCCACTGGAACAGGTTTTGTTTATTATAACCCTTTTGATGCGTCTCATGTCAGTTTAAATCTGCCTGTATTCAGTGAACTTACCACAAGAAACAAACCTCAAGGCTAAGTCCATGACCTGAATACAACGTATGCAGATTGAGAGTTGAAGATAAGCGATTTTCTGAGTTATAAAATAATGGCCTACTTAAGTGAGAAGTGTTATGTACTTGATTCTGATTTCATACTGGTATAAACCAGGAATCCACCACAGAAAATAAAGTTATGCCAGGATAAGAATGGGGTTGAATCAAAATCAGGTTTAAGTATAAAAGACTTGCATGAAATTGTCTTAAATTCTGATACATGTCAAGTAGTAAGAACCTGTATGGAAGCAAGAGATATGCAGACACCCTATGCTTAAGGATGTGCCTCCCACCTCCCCCATCACAAGTTTAACAGAACTGAATTTAAGGCTCTTGGGTGATGAGAAGCAAGTTTTGTAACAATAGGACTTCAGAGATGTGTTAATCAACACAGATGGCCATTCACAATATGGGCTTTGGATGATTAATGGCTGCAGCCAATAAACACATCACACTGGGCACATCTAAACAAGATGTTGACTGTGCAGTAGCTGAAAAATACTGTGCAGTATTGTGTCACAGCATGGGCAGTACTAATATGCTACTGAGCAGTATTAAGCTACTATGCACCAGCTTCACCTAAAAGTCATTTGCTGGCACTACTACACAATAACTTTGGTTACTAGGCACTTATTTAGTACTTGCTAATACAAGCAATAAATAAATGTGCAGTAACAACTGTGTAGTAGCATCTTGTGTAGATGCACCCACTGAGCACCAACCTGATTCATGAAACTGCCAATTGTAGCATCCTGCTACCCATGTGGAACATGTAGAAGGGAGTGACATCTTTGATTTAGTACAGACCCCCTATAATAGTAAAACAATGAAAAGATGTGAATGAAGGCTGGTTTGTCAGAAGTTATGTCTGTTCCATGTAAAATACCAGGAAAAGTGCTCATATGCCTACTGGATGCAAGAAAGAATCCAAGACCAAATTAATCAATAAAACTGATTCAGGGAAACACTCTATGAAGAAGATGCAGCTATCATTTAAGTAAACCAAGCTCATTGGCAATGTGTTACTAAGTAGAGACAGGGTCAAAAAGATTGTGCAGCTACAGATAAAAAGGCAGTTCTAGGTGCCTCCCAACACAGGCTTACTGAAAGGGTGCATTCCTCTCCATTTGGCTCCAACAAACAGCATTTTAAATATTCACCTGATTTCAAAATCTATTTTCTTCCTACACTTAAACAAGATTATAATTAGTACAAATGCAGAATGATGCAGCACACTAGAATTCAAATTTCAACGTTTTTGCCATTTATGATGCTGCAGTTTTTCAGATCCACTTCAACACTTTCCATTCTTGATTTGGCTACTAATTAGTGGATGTCTTACTGAAAATCTTTGCCAAGGAAGTTTTAAACTAGGTGTGCAAATGTGAGGTATTTTGTAATTTTAGCTATTTTAGGCTTAAAGCAGTTTTAGCACAACTAGTGTGTTCAAGGGGCTTTCTTTCTGTGGACACAATTAGTGTATCAAAGTCAAGCAACAATGAAAGATATGATACTGCAAAATACTGCTTATATAGAGAGTTGAGTAATAAAGAGATTTGTTTCTGCAATACACTAACTCACTGGTGAGGTGTTTACTTGTACTTAACCATGCCAAACCCAAATATTCTCCCATGCCCATACAATCAAAGCAGGGAACTAAACAGAAAAAAACAACAGGAAGAAGATCTGGCAGCCACATAAAGGTCCCACCCTTGTTGGCTCAGACAAATCTAAAGAGAGAACCGAACACAGAAACAACTGTTTTCAAAATCACGTTTTATATTTATCGAATTTTACATTTCTCACACACAGTGGATACACAACTGATGAGAGAAGCATCTCTTAATACACCACAGTGTATGACTTGTGCTACACCATGTAACAGAAGAGATACCAAGGCAGACTACTTTTAAGAAGGAATAAAGTACTTTATACATCTCCCCTGTTGTAAGTCTGGTATAACAAGTAGCTTCCAACCCTTGCAAAGTTTTTTTTTCTTCCCAAAGCCTAGATGTTGATGCATGGGTGAATAATAAATACTTAAGAAATCTAGAAGAGGAGAATTCAGATATACTGCAGAAAGGTATCAGTTCAAGTAAGATTTTAGTCTGTGAGTGCAGAAGACATGGTACCCAGCCAAGTCCTGGCAGAAAAGAGTCAATGTTATGTAATGAGAACCTTCAAATACTGTATACTGGTGGCAGAATTAATGCAAAAAAGAATTTATGTTTTGTAAATATTATTCAACATCAACTCCTCTATTAGGACAAGTGCCATACCAGTGCAACCACTTTAATTAAACACTTGTGCAATTGAAATCTCATTGCATCTGCAACACTTGCTCTGTGTCAGCCATACTGATTTGCAAATACATTTCTTTCTGAAGTCTCCTTCTGTTGTGGTAGCTGGTAGCTTGTCATTCCAACAAGAATATAGCTTGCCATCACCTCTTCTTGCAAAACTTGTTCCCAAAAGGTCAGTTTCCACAGAGAAATGGCTGGGTGAGGTGGATCCTCACATATGCCTTGAAGGAGTCAGTCTCATTCTGCCCTGAAAGAGACTACTGCTACAAAACTACCTCAACCATCATGCACATGGTGATAGTCCACTATAAAATAGACAGATCCCAGGACAATTATAGCTTTATAAATGAAAATCAGAACCTTTATTTGGACTCAGAATTAAAAAAGCAAGCAAAGCAGAGTGCAAAGCAATGGTGTGATATAGTCAATACTGTTTAGCGAAGATAATCCCTGTATACTGTGCCAGCCTAGTTTATGGGTGGCTTCTATGGCATAGCATACCAAGTCAGTAATGTGACAAAGTCACAAGAAAGGCATATGCAGTTTTGGGATGCATCAACATGAATATTAGGTGCAAGACATGGGAGGTGATAGCACCACTCTACTCAGAGCTGTTTAGGTCATACCTAGAGCACTGTTTGCAGTTCTGGTCTCCATGATTTAAGAAAGATAGGGAGAGGGTATAGAGGCAGGCAACAAAAATGCTAAAGGGATTAGAAGGCATATGAATATAGATTGAGAGAACCAGGGATATCTAGGTTGGAGACATGGGCTGCTGACAGATGTGAACTCCCCCAAACAAAAAGCCAAACCCCAAACAAAAACAAAACAAACAAGCAGTACTTTACCAGAAGAGGAAGCATATTAGTTGAGCCTGGCTCCCCAGCATCTGTACAGATCATGTGCTTCAGTGGACTTTTTAACAATTTTATCTAAAGCTGTTTCAATCAGCTATTAGATAAAAGTGC